ATGTTTCTCTCTCTCTCCCTCTCCCTTCCTCTCTGAAATCAATACATACATATTTAATTCATTTTTTAAAAATCTTATTTTTTAAGCTTTTGCCTGGCCAGTGTTCTCAGTGGCTGAGCACCGGCCTATGAAACTGGGTGCCCGGTGGTTCTCCGAGGACAACAGGCCATCGCCCGGGGCCCAGCAACGCGTTGGCCCCTAGCCCTGCCGGGAGCGAGTGTGTTCTTTGTCTCTGGAGTCGGCCGCTGCCCCCGCATCGCACCCCCAGCAGCTCCCAGCAGCCTCACAGGGCTCCAGTGCTGGCCGGCTGCCCAGATTCCTCCATGGATCACCTTGGGGCACGGGCGGTCTGGGGAGGGGCCTGGGCCAGGGGCCGAGAGGGTCAAAGAGGCAGAAAGGATACAACTGCACACAGCGGGCTCCTTTCAGGCTCCAGAGACAACTTCTAACACAGGCCGCCCCTCCGTCCCCTCCGGCGGTTTTGGCTGCAAATGCCGCCTCGCCTGCCTGTGTCTGCCGACTCCCTGCTCCTCCCTTCTCCCTCCGGCGGGTCCTGCCTTACACACTTTCTTTTTTCTCTTCTAATATATGTTATTGATGTCAGAGAGGAAGGGAGAGGGAGAGAGAGAGAAACATCAACGATGAGCGAGAATCATCACTGGGGATGGAGCCCGCAACCTGGGCCTGTGCCCTGACCGGGAATCGAACCCTGACCTCCTGGGTCATAGGTCAATGCTCAACCACTGAGCCACGCTGGCGGGTGAATAACTTTGCTCAGTGACCGCTCTGATAGCCAACGTCTGAGAGCACTTGCTGCGCAGCTGGCACTCTGCCCGGTGGCTCCCCTCCCCTCTCTCCGTCTGATCACCATCTGAGCCCTGTGCCGGGCACTGCCATTGTCCCAGCCAACAAAGGAGGCGGCGGACTTGGAAGGGGGACGGCTTTCACTCAGGGCCACACCACATGGATTCAGGTTCACACGTGGGCCGTCTGGCTGCGCACCACACGCCCGGCCGGTCCCTGTGGCCCTCGGTTATGGCCTGCTCCCGGGGACGCTTACCCGCCGGCCACTGCCCTCCTCACCGCTCCCGGAACCACGGGAACCGCGGGAACCGCGCAGCCAGGCCGCGCAGAGGCTGGAGGTGGGAGGTGGGGCCGGCTTCCTACTTAAGTTCAGAGCCGAGAGCTTTGCTGCTTCATGCACTTGGGGACCAAAGGGCGAGGGACTCACGGGTGACTCAGCGCCTCCCTTCCTCCTCTTAAAGAAACAGGTGCCCACAGCTAAGAGGCCCCACAAGGACTCTCAGTAGAAGAAAGAAGCAGGCTTTCGTTGCCTTCCCCTAAAATACTATTATTATTTTTCAAAAACACCATGCTTCTAAGAGTCCCGTGTCTGGTGGCAATTTAAATCGGTCCCTTGTTTGCAAAGTCTTAATGGGCCCATTTCACAGATGTGGTAGCTGAGGATCCAATAGGCTAATTGGTTTGAACGTGAGCCACCAGCAGCTGATGTCATAAAACGCACCCACTCACGCCTTTGCAAGCTGGAGCTCTAATTTGGCAAAGCGCTAAGATGAGTGTGAGGTGCCATTCCTTTCGTGTGAAACAGCCCCTGCCCGGGGGCGGGGTACGTACCCTCCTGACGCAGGAAGGTACCACTACGCTTTGAAACCTATCAGCTGGCCCGGCTGGCGTGGCTCAGGGGTTGAGCGTCGACCTAGGAACCAGGAGTTCGCTGGTTTGATTCCCAGTCAGGGCACAGGCCCGGGTTGTGGGCTTGATCCCCCGTAGGGGGCGTGCAGGAGGCAGCCGATCCATGATTTTCTCTCATCATTAATGTTTCTCTCTCTCTCCCTCTCCCTTCCTCTCTGACATCAATAAAAAAAAATATTTTTTTAAAGTAGGATGAAATAGAAGTCCTGGATCTCTATGAAGCTAAGGCCTTGCAAAGGAAATGGAGAAGCAATTATCAAAAAAAAAAAAAAAAAAAACGAAGCCAAGAGCTCCCGAATCTCACTACGGGGCAGAGATGCATCCACTCCGGAAACCCTCAGGCAGCCACCAGCCCTGGTCCCGGCCACAGGCAGCCCCTGGCCGGGTCGCAGGCCTGAGGCTCCTGCACTCGCGCTGCCCTTCTCCAGGGAACCCCACCCACTGGTGCGGAGGAAGGAGGACCCGTGTCCGGCCGTGTCCGTGTGAGCACTCACCCCCTGGGGGCCCCAGAGTCCACAGAAAACAGACTGAGTCGTGGGCAGGAAGGCTGTGCCTCAGCCACTGCAGCCGTGGCTGAACCTTCCCGTCTGAAGGACTTCTTGGGTCGAAGTACAAGGCCACGTCTCTGCAGAAATGCAGTCTGGGGCGTGTTTTCAGAATGCCTGGGGCAGCAGCCACTACCCCCTTCCCCAGCCTAGGGTTTCCGCGGGCGTCTGAGAGGCTGCCTGTGTGGCACGCCCAGCACCCACAACCACTCTCCCAGGTGCCCACGGGGGTATGAAAAGGCATAAGGCAGCCCCAGCGGCGTGGCTCCGTGGTCGAGCATCGACCTAGGAACCAGGAGGTCAGGGTTCGATTCCCGGTCAGGGCACAGGCCCGGGTTGCGGGCTCCATGCCCAGCGTGGGGCGTGCAGGAGGCAGCGGATCAATGATTCTCTCTCATCGTGGATGTTTCTCTCTCTCTCTCCCTCTCCCTTCCTCTCTGACATCAATAACATATATTAGAAGAGAAAAAAGAAAGTGTGTAAGGCAGGACCCGCCGGAGGGAGAAGGGAGGAGCAGGGAGTCGGCAGACACAGGCAGGCGAGGCGGCATTTGCAGCCAAAACCGCCGGAGGGGACGGAGGGGCGGCCTGTGTTAGAAGTTGTCTCTGGAGCCTGAAAGGAGCCCGCTGTGTGCAGTTGTATCCTTTCTGCCTCTTTGACCCTCTCGGCCCCTGGCCCAGGCCCCTCCCCAGACCGCCCGTGCCCTGAGGTGATCCATGGAGGAATCTGGGCAGCCGGCCAGCACTGGAGCCCTGTGAGGCTGCTGGGAGCTGCTGGGGGTGCGATGCGGGGGCAGCGGCCGACTCCAGAGACAAAGAACACACTCGCTCCCGGCAGGGCTAGGGGCCAACGCGTTGCTGGGCCCCGGGCGATGGCCTGTTGTCCTCGGAGAACCACCGGGCACCCAGTTTCATAGGCCGGTGCTCAGCCACTGAGAACACTGGCCAGGCAAAAGCTTAAAAAATAAGATTTTTAAAAAATGAATTAAATATGTATGTATTGATTTCAGAGAGGAAGGGAGAGGGAGAGAGAGAGAAACATCAACGATGAGCGAGAATCATCACTGGGGATGGAGCCCGCAACCTGGGCATGTGCCCTGACCGGGAATCGAACCCTGACCTCCTGGGTCATAGGTCAATGCTCAACCACTGAGCCACGCTGGCGGGTGAATGACTTTGCTCAGTGACCGCTCTGATAGCCAACGTCTGAGAGTACTTGCTGCGCAGCTGGCACTCTGCCCGGTGGCTCCCCTCCCCTCTCTCCGTCTGATCACCATCTGAGCCCTGTGCCGGGCACTGCCATTGTCCCAGCCGACAAAGGAGGCGGCGGACTTGGAGGGGGACGGCTTTCACTCAGGGCCACACCACATGGATTCAGGTTCACACGTGGGCCGTCTGGCTGCGCACCACACGCCCGGCCGGTCCCTGTGGCCCTCGGTTATGGTGACGGCCTCTGAGCACATCAGCGGGGAAGATGCCGCGCGGAGCCCAGGAGCAGCGCCCGCCCCAGCCTGGGAGCCCAGCCCTCGTGCTAACAACACGGACACGCTGCAGGGTGAGGTCTGAGGAGGTTGTTTTTCTAGAAGCATCCCTGCTGGGGCTCCCGAGTCACAGCCCATGAAGGGCTGCCCACGTGTGCAGGCGGGAGCCGGGCCTTCGAAAACAGCCGTCACCCCGCCCAGGCTGCAATGAAATGTCAGCCTGAACCCGAAATACACCCAGGAAACGTGTGGGGGCAGCTGTCCACACGGCTGCTCAGCCTCACCCCGAATTCCTAGAGAGGGCCTTGGGCTTTCCCTGCGTGCACCAGGCCACTCCCACTCCCATGCAGGCTGGGGGCTCAGGCGTGTGCGTGTGCGTGTGCGTGTGCTGCAGGGCTGCCTCGAGCTCGGCCTGGCCCCACCGGAAGGAAGTCTCTGACTATGGAGCAAGCAAAGCTCCGCCCACTGCACCCGTCCCCTGGGGACCCTACTGTGCCCTCAGCTGGAGACCTCGGGTCTAAGGGACACAGATCAAAGACCCAGTCTTTTCACGCAGGCGCCCGTGAGGGGGGAAGGAACCAACGATGTGGAACCACCATGACCTTGTGCTGTGGAAGGAACCTGGACCAGCGATTTTTATTTCTCTCCTGAGTGAAGGACCAGAGAGACACGCCCTCTCTCCACAGGACAAGACACAATCATTCTGCAGGCCCTTGTTGAGGCCCTACTATGTGCAGCCCACTGTGCTGAGGAATAGGACCAGGTGGAGACCCTGCCCTCGAACGGCAGCAGCCGGGCTCTCAGCACTTGCCCAGCCCTGGGCAGGCACGTCCCACACACGATCACACTGAATCCTCACCAGGGAGGCACTAATTCTACACCCATTTTGCAGATGAGGAAACTGAGGCCTCGAGCAGTTAAGCAGCTTGTCCGAGGACCCAAGTGACAGAGCTGAACTCAGATCCGCCCAGCTCAAACCTCCTGAACTCTTCAGCAAACACGAGTTCCTACCTGACAAACCAGCACGTTTGCCTCTGTGTTAACATTGGGGTCCGTTTGCGGAAAGGACGGGGGGCGGGGGGGGAGCGTCTCCTGGGCGCTGGGGGGAGAGGGCTTCACGGCCACTGCATGTGCCTGAGCCTGTTCAGTGTCCTGAACAAGAATGTGGTCCCTGAGCGGCCAGCACACGTCAGGAGGGGCCAGGAGGAGGGTCAGCCCGAGGCCATGCGTGGGAGTCTGGGCAGCATCTCAGCCTCGCTGAGCTTCCTGCCTCCGACGCCTGGCTCTGCGCTCACACCTTCCCCCACATTTCACATCAGAGGGGAAGGAATTTTGAGGAGGCCACGGAAATGCCCTTTATCAGCGCAGAGAGTCCCGGGAGGGGAGTGGGAAGGAGCAGGGGGGGAGGGGCGGGAGGCGTGACAGTCCTCTGACTCAGGCCAGTTATGAGCCCCAAATGCAAAATGCTAGGGGAGCCCTAGCTGGTGTTGCTCAGTGGATAGAGCATCGGCCTGGGGACTGAAGCGTCCAGGGTTTGATTCCTGGTCAGGGCACAGGTCCGGGTTGTGGGCTCCATCCCCAGTAGGGGGCATGCAGGAGGCAGCCGATCAATGATTCCCTCTCATCATTGATGCTTCTATCTTTCTCTCCCTCTCCCTTCCTCTCTGAAATCAATAAACATATTTTTTTTAAAAAAATGCCAGGGGAGCTTCTGAAATAAAAAACTCACCCCCCACCCCGATGGGGCCATTTCTACAGAAAAATGAGTCTCCACTGAAGATAAAACGTGAACCAAAGTGAGAGCCTACGCATCACCCAGCTGGGAGCTGGGGTTTCCAACAGAACCTCCCGTCTTCCTGCAGAAAAACAAAGCTACACCCAGTGATCGATAAGCCGTCCTCCCTCCCAGGGGACGCGCACCCCCCGCCCCCCCGCTGGTAATCTCAGCGAGACCACGAGACTCAAGTTTCAGCGAACTTTCTCCTGCGCCCACGCCCGAGGGAAACTGCCCCTCACAGCACCCGCACACTCCCCCCCAAATGGCGGGGGTTCAAGAACCCGCTTGTCCAACCAGCTTCGCACACTGTGCCTCCTGCAGTCCTACTGCCCGTGCCCTCAGCCACCAGCACGCGGCCTGCGCGTCCAGAGGCTGCGGTCGGACTCACTTTGCAAAACCGGGCTGCACAGGCAGCCTCCCGTGGCACCCCGAGGACAAGGTCACCCTAAGTCATGACCGGCACCCCAAAAACAATCCACAGCAGGGATGGGGAACCTTCCCTCGGCCAGGGCCACTGGGGTATGTATAGCATCACTCACAGGCCATACACAGTGACCAGCTTCAAAGTGAGCTGCTCTGGTTGGTCAAGCATTTCATTAGCTCACCCCTAGTTCCCGGGCAGGGCCAGACCCCACGGTTTCGTGGGCCTTATACAGCCCGCAGGCCGGCGTCCCCACCCCTGCTCTACAGCCTCCGTGTCCACCGGGCTTCCCGGGGCGCTTGCTGGCACAGCCGAGGTGAGGCTGGTTCACTCACCACGGAGCCGGCGGGTTTGCCGGAAGGGACGCCGGGAGGAAGAAGGCCTTCGGTGTGGCTCCGACCGGCGGCCCCGGAGCTGTGTGGCCTCGGGAGGAGGCTCGGCCTCTCTGGGCTCAGGTTTCTGGGCTGTAAGACGAGGATGCTGACGTCCTGGCTCTGATATTTCAGGAGCCAGAGAGCGGGCGGGGCACCTGGGGGTGGGGCACCAGGCCTCAGCCGCCGGAGGAGCAGCTGCCCGACATCCTGCAGGGGGGACCCCGAAAGCCCAGCCCGGCGCTGTCCTCTCCCCAAATTCTTCTCTCTTTCTGCCAACTCTGGCCAGGCACCTTCAGATGCCAGCTGCCCAGCCGCTCGCCAGGCGGCCTCCCCCTCCAGCTGCTGGCTGTGGAGTCCGGACGGCGGGCCAGGCCAGACAACGTGCACCACAGCCCCTCCCTCCAGGTCCAGCTTCCAGGACGGCCTCGCACTCCAAACGCCTGGTGCCGAGATCGCCCGGGCAATTGGTCCCATACAGTGCGCTCCGAGCTGGTGTTGCGCTGGTGCGGCCGGCAGGGCTCACCCACACGGGCGCTCCCTCCCTCCCGCAAATGGTAGGTTCAGTCTCTTCTCGGCCACTCTTGGCAAGAGGTTAACCCCAAAGCCCTGGCTTTGCAAGGAGGGGAACGCATTCGCCATGTGTGCCATGTGCTTCAGATACAATGTTGCAACCCTGAGGCCACCGGGTGGAGGCTGCTAACCCCGGGGATGGGAGGGAGCTTGGAGGGGAGGGAGCCCAGGGCAGAGGCGCATGAACTTCAGCAAGTTCAAGGTCCAAGCCCAAGTGAGCACCAGGAACCTGATAACAGTGTGAGCATCGTTCCAATGATGACAGTGATGACTCTAATAATAAAAACGATTACCCCTGGTGTGTAAGTGCTCACCACGTGCCAGGTAGGCAGGGAGCAAAGGTTTTATGCATATTATTTTGTTATTTTTTAAACATATAGTTTTATTGACTTCAGAGAGGAAGGGAGAGGGAGAGAGAGATAAAACATCGATGATGAGAGAGAATCATGGACCGGCTGCCTCCTGCACGCCCCGTACGGGGGATCGAGCCTGCAACCCGGGCATGTGCCCTGACCAGGAATCAAACCATGAGGTAGATGCTCAACCACTGAGCCACGCCGGCCGGCACGCATGTTGCCTTTATGTCATCTCCATGATAACTGCATGCGGTGGACACACGTTACAGAGGAGGGAAACCGAGGCTGTGAGCGGCTGAGAACTTGCCCGACCAGCCTCTGCCACCGGTCCTGTCCTGTTCTCTGGACAGGAAGCCCCCCCCTCCCTTGAGAGCCGCTGGGTGAATTATTCAGCGAGCGCTGGGCGTGCCCACGGGCACCTCCGAGTATCGGGTGCCGGGGAGCCGAGTGCCGAGTCTGCCAGCCTAACAGTCCAGGGACAAGACCGCAACGTTCCCTTGTCCGGAGGCCGGACCCACTCTCGGCTGAGATGACCACCAACCCGAGTCTGAGCCGTGTCCAAGCCACAGCCTGTAACGGCCCAATATTTCTCAAAAGGACGTTTAAAATGACAGGAGCGACGGGATAGAAAATCAAGCCCGGAGGGCCTCCGAGGCGCACCGCTGTCCGGCCTCGTCTGCTGCGAGAAGGACACCCCACGGCTGCCTTTCCTTCGCTTTAATTTTCTCAGCGGCAGCACCCTCCACGCCTACCCTTCACTCCAGACGTGGTGTCGCAGCCGGTAATTTTAGAAGGAGGAGGAGAGAAGGAAGAAACAGCCCGAGTGGGAAGAAGGTGTGGGAGGGCGGGAGGGAGGGAGGGAGTGTGAGGAGCGGCCCGGCTCGTCCTGGTCCCACTGGGTTCCCTGGGCGCCGGGCGCCAGCGGCTGCTCTCGGCCCCCCTCCCTCCCCTCCATCAACTTTTCACCCCACGGCCCCGCAGGAGCCGCCCTGCCCCTGTCCACACAGAGACGCTGGGCACCTGGGAGTCAGTCCATCGTCTCAACCCGCACTGACCACGGAAGAGGATATTTCCAACCGTTTTCCCAAGTGGGAAAGGAAACCCCTCTTACTTACTTACTTACTTACTCATTAAATATATTTTTATTGATTTCAGAGGAAGGGAGAGAGAGAGAGAAACATCAGAGAATCATGGACCGGCTGCCTCCTGCACGCCCCGCACTGGGGGTCAAGCCCGTGTCCTGACCGGGAATCGAACCATCACCTTCTGGTTCATAGGTTGATGCTCAACCACTGAGCCACACGGGCTGGTGAAAAACCCCTTTTACATAAACTTTCAGCAAAAAAACCAGCGTGGCGACGCCCACAATGGATTGAGACCTGCACATCCGACCATCAGCGGGGAGCGAGCACAATGCCAAGTTCTAAACTCTCCATCCACTGGGAGACCCGTTCGTATCCTACGTCACAACCCAGCCAGGCCTCTGGGCCGAGTCTACGAACTGGCGAGGCTGTCGGTGGCCCCGGACGTGCACGGAGAGGGGCCGCACGCGGGCAGAAACCCACAGCCGAGCGCCTGTGACAGCCGGGGACGGGGAGGAAGGAGCTGACGCATCCCTGTGGGCAGAGGGCGCCTGGT